AGAGTCATGGATACCGAGAATTCACATCCGAAGTCATGGATACCGAGAATTCACATCCAAAGTCATAGATACCGAGAATTCACATTCAAAGTCATGTTTTCCATAAGGTTTCCGTTTTGAAGTTAGATATTGTTTCATTAATGTGCTTGTTATTTTCAGTAAACCATTCAAAGAATGTTACATTTATCTGGAGAATTATGTCAGTGAAATTGTCCCTTTTTTCTTGTTCCTTGTCTCCCAGGTAACCATGTCTCTATGGCAACAACAGCAGAAACTAGTGTGTTGACAAGTACAGAGAGTTGGAATTCAGTTCACTCAGCAGCCTCAAGTAAGATAAATTTTTGTTTCCTTCCACGTTTTGCACATTTTTTCACAGCGCTATCTCTGCACTCGTAGCTCAAGGAACTGTGTGACCCTGTTTTCTGTGACCAAACTCTGGGTGTCCATCTCAGATCTTAACCCTGTGGTGGCTACAACAAGCCAGAAGTTGCACCATTTGTAATTAGGTCATTCCATGAGGTTGGGGCACAATTTGTGAAGATGTCAACTATTACATGGGTTCCGTAAAAATGAACCCTTATTTCCCTGCATGTAGATTCCAAATCGACATTGTTATATGTCTTGCAAGGCTGAATACAGAGGTGTGTGTTATTTTTACATAGTAAATGACCTCCTCGAGAGGTCGTGACAGGTGGTAAAAGTTTTGATGTAACAAGGACACCGTCACAAATTGTGCCCCAACCTCATGGAATGACCCAATTACATTACTGGATGTATTGATCATTGTCAGCTATTAAGCAGACAGTTGTGAACATTGAATCACTTCCAGTGTAGAATAAATATGAGTAATGAGAGACTTTCATGTTGGTGGCAGCAGAGGTACCGGTCCTCTTTCACAGTATTGCATATGCTCAGAACTGTGCACGCATGCTCAAAACAACTCACGCATGCTCAGAACTGCTACAAAGGACTGGCATGTTTGACATCACCAAGCGTCTCTAAGGCTGCATCCGAATCTGTTGTCTAGAGCTACATGTAGGTCTAAGTCTTCACTCCATTGAAAGTACATGGAGACGCGCAGACAATAGACCTAGGTGTAGCTCTGGAAGCCTGTTTCGGACACGGCCTAAGTTTCCCATTCCATCTTCCCTGTGCTGACTTGTATAAAATTTGAATATCAGAGAACACTGTAGTCACAGCACTGAATTCAGTCGAGAAGCACGTTTTTGCTCACATCATTGTTCTCCAAGGACGGTTTGTCCAAAGGAAACGCATGAAGTTTAAGTCGTCATTAAGGGTTTTGCAACTTGCATCTCTTGGCGAAATCCTGTTTGAGTTCTGTGCACATTGCTTTATGTTGCTGGGTTTGTTTTTGCTGATGGATTTTGCTGCTTCATATTTTCTCGCCGCATGCCAAGCTGCCGCCTCCATCACGTGTCAAATTCTTCCTAAAATGAAGCTAAAGCAGTCACATTTTGTATTGATCCCTTTTGATACATCAGAAGTGGTAAGGATAGGAAAACAGAGTTGAGCTTGTTCCTCATATCATGTAATATCCTTAAGCTTGGTACAGTTTTTCTGCTGCAGACAATTATTTGTGATGATTTGTATGAAGCAAGGAATACTGTGCAGTTGTACCCAGACGTCAGAAAATAACCTGGAATGGCCATTCATATACAAAGGGGGGGGGGAGACAGTTGAAGGCCCTGGGTACATGGGAGTACCAGTATATCACCCTATTCATTCCATCTAAAGAAAAAAAACCAGCCCCTATAAAGAGTCTGTTTTAATGTATCCACACCATCTGGGGTACGTGTGCATGTATGGACCTGATCAGTCATCACTCACACCGGTATGCCCATCTGGTTGACAACTAAAACTCAGCCTGTGAGAGGGCGTGCATGTGAAACCGGACAAGGATAGGAAAATCCAGGGATGGAAGAGGAGGTTGTTCAGTTGCCATGGTAACTTTGGGCCGGCCATGAAGGCAGTTCTTTCATTCGTTCAAGGCGTAGAAATTCCATATCACTCACCTACCTGTACGTACATGTACGTGTAGCTGTATGTATCCTTTCAAATCCACCTGGGGATTTGAAGGATTTTGGAGGATGGAAGAAGGTAGAGTCAAGCAACTGTTCTTTACTTGGTCTTGGTGACCCTCCACCAGACGTGTAGTTGAGACCTCCTAAGACGTCACAAGACCTTACAAGACCAACGCCGGACCTTTAGTCTCAATTCAAGTCCCAAGCAATTCAAACCAACCACAACAAAACAAAGGGTTTCCTTTGTCATTGTCCACCAGGTTCCTTGTGAGTGGTCTTGTGATAATCTCAGCTACAATGCTGCCCTCAACATTGGGCAAATGTTTTTTTTCTTCATATATATGATGAAAGTGCAGTGATTATGTAGGAAGGCGTCATTTACATGTACTTACTGAAAGCGTAAAAGCCCATAAAGAATCCCAATTCCCCCCCCCCAGAATTTCATTTTGGGTCTGCCCTTGCCTCTTGAAATCACTTATCAAATGTACCCTTGGTTCCCCATTCATGTACATGTACAAGTGGAGTACTGTACTTTGCATGGCTCAGGACATTTTTCCTACATTGATACATGTATCTCCAGCATGTTATCTGCACCAACCCTGCTTGCCTCCAGCAAGATCCCACAGCAAATTGTCCTATTGTCTCTGTTGGATTCAGCATACACATGTACAGACTTATTGGATGTTGTAGGAACCAGGAACTACATGGTGTATGGATTGGTACTCATTTGTTCCTTCTTGGTGTCTGTTATACATGTCCATGTGTTTTTAGGGTGATTAGATTAGACTGGCTGACTGTTACCTTTTTATGAGCTCTTGGTACATGTATGCCAGGCTGTTATCAGCTCAAATGGGACACTTTGTAACCTTAGTTCTTAACCCAGTAAGTGAATCCAAGTGCTTCACGAGTGTACCCGACCCAGCTGTGCCCTTTAACATTGTATCCTATTCCTACATGTAGTATTCCAATGTCGTATTTCATGCCCAAATTATTCAAAAATTATGTCTTCATGAAAGGAATATGACATTCATTTGAGTGTTCTGTGACATTCTCAGTATTGGCCAAAGTGTTACTCAGTTCATTTTTGTTGAACACTGTGACCTAAATTGAAATCAAAACTTGGCATTGCTGAATATTTTGTGCTTTTCTTGAGTGTTTTCTGTACTTACCCTGGAAAAGCTTGGCTCTTTGTTTATGTTGCGCTATCCTTTTCCTTCTTTTTTTTTTCTGAGTTCATTTTTTTTTCTTTATCTCTTCTCGTTTCTCGTCTCTCTCTCTCTCGTAGTCAAGTCCGAACCGCTCAGTAATAGTGACCCGTCCACGCCAACCGTGATACAGGATGGTGGCTATGGCGTAAACGCCCCACTCGATGAGCTAGCAGGTGAGCGGGTCTGTCTCTAGATCTGCTGTTATCACCTCCCTCCCGCATAGCGCCCTCTCTTGAGCTACTCTGGCAGGCACCTTGCTCAAAGAGTTGTCCGTACTCTGCTCAACAGTCGTGCCGAATGAAAAGACACTGCTGTCATGAGTTGAAAATTGTTGTTTTAGCCACCTAATGGTTGAGACTGATGTACATGTATATTAAACGTCCTTTTATTCCAATTTAGTCAATTTACAGAGCTATTGTTTAAACATGCACAAACTGTGCCAACACCGACATTCATGCAACGGTACGGTCACATGCAACCAGGAAATGGTGAATAGTGGTAACAGAGTGTAACGCAACCCTGGTGATTTTGATTTGTTACAATGTATTCAAGTCACCTTGTGACTGTGTACATGCTGATCAGCATCTCAAAAGTTGACCTTTACGGAGTGGAAAGAGAAACTCCCCTGAAAATCAGCATTTCTTGTTCTCAGCATTGTGACCCACGCAAGTCACTGTTTTCATCGGCTTCAAGAGAGGGCATCCACCCGCAAATGAGTGTAGTGTTGTCCAAAGTTTCCTGACAAACCTGCACTTTAGATATGAAGTGGTCAGCATCTTGGGGTGTAACCATTATGGAAAAAGGGGAACCAAAAAAGACTCACGGTAGCAAACATTTATGAAAGTTGGTTAAAAATTTGATGACCCCTTTTCCCCATCACGTCATTCCCAACCCGTTCTATCCATGACAGTGGTGCCAAAAATTACTTTTCTTAATCTTTCCTTATTTAAAGGAAGGACCCTTTGTACAGAAATCTACCAGACTTCATTCTGTTTACATTTTCTGTTGCCTGCTATTCAATCCCCCAGTCATCAGATGTCATTTTTTACATTTTTTTTTTAATTTGGCAAGCTTGTTTCATGATTTACTTCCTGGCTTTTTTGTTTTGTTTGTTTGTTTTATTTTCCACACAAACCACAAAGAGATGAAGTTTTGCTTAGCTGTCTGGCCTACCCTGTTTTCCCTCGCATTCATTTGTTGTAGAGTGTTGTGTGAGGAATGTGACTCGTACAAAGAACTTTGTCTGGCTTTTCTGCAGCGGCTAGCCAGTCAATTTCATGCTCATTTCTGTCAGCTTTCAATTGAGTGCTTTGGTATTTTTGCAGGGTAGGGGTATGGAACTGAGAATTGTTCATTTAAAAAGTTTTGATTCTCAGTGAATCAAAGTGGAAAAGTCAATCCTCTGTTTGCACGGCGTGGGTCACAAGAACACCAGTACATCAACAAAAAATCGCTCTTCAGCCTTACCTGCTGTTTCCAAGAGGCTTTCATTTGACAGAAAATTTGTAAAAAAATGATACATTACCTCTTCAAGTCATTGTTCTTGGTATTAACATACAGATCTACTGGTACATGTATATTGCCTTGCTGTGTGTGAAGAATTAATCAAACCAAATAATTAGTTTGGCATGAGTGGAAAGTAGACACCATATGCATTTAGACAAAAATCTTTAATCCGTTGGCCAGCGTGTTCCATTTTTCTGATAAAACTGTGGGCGAATTTTAAGTTAGGATTGAGTCACCAGCAATTGCTTGAATGTCTCTCTCATGTTTGTGCTTGCTTTTAGGGTCAAATTCAGGGGTCGGGGGTCAGAGTTCACTGGATATGAATCTTCGGCAGCCGAAGTCAGAGTTTCCGTCGCAGTATTACCCAAGGTAAGATTAGATCCTTATTTTTGAATTATTTTTCTGGAAAGAAGTTATCATACACATATCTGAAATCTTCACAGGCTTTCGCTTTACTCTTTTAAAACCTTGTGTGTAAAGGTTTGGGGGACTCTTGCAACCTTATTAAATTTGATTAAAACAAATCCCTCCCCCACAAAAAAAAAAAATTTCTGCGATCAAAACGTTAGGCTTAAAAACAAATCTTTTCCATTGAACATCAAAATGCTAGATACATTACACGTTGAATTTCCATGTTATTGATGAGGTATTGTAGCATTGAACAAACTATGGATTTTCTTTGTATGTGAAAGGCATATTTCAACAACAGCACACTGCATTGTAATAGGCCTATAAGAGAATTATAAGGATTGCAATCCAGCAATGTTGTCCTAAGCTTGTACATCCCCCCCTGCTCATTCCCCCCACCCCATTCGTCTCCCAGTGTTCCAGTCTCTTTTCTCCTCATTTGATACATGTAGTATTGAAGAAGACATGGAGTCATTTGTTGTGCCATTTAAGTGTCCGGTGGGCGGGCCCTACAACATACCAGTATAAGTGCAGGATGTCACTTAGCAACTTTGGCATGGTTGTTGATGTTGTCGGTAGCTTGAGGTGATGTGGCATAAAACTTAATTTAATAGTTTGGAGTTCCCCTCCTCCAGCTTCTGTCCAAGATATTAAGGCAAAATTTGAAGCCCCATTCTTGTAATAATTCTGTCATCAAACAGCGTGTGATGCATTCTCCAAATGGAGTCAATGCTTTCATGAAGTTGACCTGCTGCAGGATTGGACTGACCCAATCCTTGGGTGCCTTTGGAAATGTGGGAACATTTTTTTAGACTGGCCACCCTCTCTTCCAGAGATCTTGGGAAAGTGGTGTTGCCTGCATGCAGCCACCTTACATGTACATGAACATGTACATTGTAGTTCATACCTGCCAACCTGTCCTACTCCTTCCTGAGGTCAGGTATCACCACATAATAGATTAGAATTTTAAATGAACGGGGGGGGCACATTTTGATACCTTTTAATCTATTGTGTGGTATTGCCTGACCTCAGGAAGGAGTAGACAGGTTGGCAGGTCTGTTAATTAGTACCTGTTGGTGTGGGGGAAGATCATGCGTGACATGTGGCAGTGTCAGGCAGTTTTACTCTTGACCAAAAATTTCCTTTGGAGGGGGAGAGCCCAGATTGCGCCAAATCTCCCTGGCTAGGCTGGAGCACATGGGTAGCATCTGAGACTTTGGGACGATACGCACAGTTTGAACGCTGAGAAATGTGGTTTTGCTCATATTCCGTCGTGATTGTTAGCATCATTTTTGACTTGGAAATGTTTGGTAACTGGCCTCTCCACTTGATGAAATACCTCTGCCAGGGCTAGGAACCAAGGTCTTTGCAAAAAAAGTCTCCTCAACTAAATTTTACCTCCAGAGATGGATGTACCAACATCATTTGTTGTGATTTTTTTTTAAGCGTAACCATGGGTAAACCACCTACTACATGTGTGTTGCTCTGTGTCAAACTTGCATTCAGAATGGTTTGTGTTTAATACAGTATGTACATTTGAAAAACCTTTGTTTTGTTTTTTTGCAAGTTTGTCTTCGAGTCATGGAAGAATTCTTCAGTTTGCCGTGAATCATTTATCTACCCTCCCCTCTTTTTCACTGTCATATCCCCCCTTCTTTCCCCGTCCAACAGTCACACAACTCGGCCATTGAACTCTCTGAATCTCTCATTCTGGCCAAGTTGTACAAATAAACAGAACTCTAAAAGAGAAATTCTGCACAATGTTCATAACTACCCTAGTCAGAGGAGCAAAGAAGAGGGGTTGATTTTTAAAATTTTTTTTGAGGGTTATGCACAGACTGCTTGTTCCACTTCCACCTTCTACATCATAAAATTTGATAAGTCAACTATAAAACATAACTGCTTGGGATATCATCTGCCGTTGCATTGGTTTGGCATAGACGGCATGCAAAGTTGGCAAAGCCTCTGGGTTCTACACTTTGGGCGTTGCGTTTGGTGAAATTCATATATATTCATATCCATGCTCAAATGTCGCGCAAATAATTTAATTAGTGCTTGGAAGCCGCCAAAGCTATTAAAATAGAGAGGGTTCGAGCGGTTCCGCCACAGGTGGGTTTCTCACCGTATCATTTGATACAAGACTGCCTGAACCAGCTAGGCGTGACTTGTGCGATGCCGTACCAAACAAACTTTTCCGACTTTGTCGTCCGTGACTCCTGTCTCGCCACCAGTTGGATGTGCAACATGTAACCGTAGCTGCGATGGCGTTTCAACTGGATAGTCAATGGGCTTTGAATAACAGTAATTCTACCACTGACGAGATGTAAACGTGGCGTTTGATTGGCCTCTTGTCAGTCGGCTTTCGAATGTTAATTGAAATGCAGAGGGCTCGGCTTGGTTTCATATTCTCTGCTGGTGTCTCACATCACACAGTTACATCTGCTTGCCTAAAAAGAAAATATTCACAAGTCCAGGGAGGTGCCAGTCCGGAGTTTGGTATAAGTATCGTTGGTTGGATATCCCGATCTCCCGATTCTAGCACAATGCTTAGCACCAGCGATATCGGATGGGATGTGGGGTAAGTTATACCGACTTCTGTGACACATTATCTTTCCTCTTGTTTTGAGTTTCTGGCCTCGATGCAATGAAACACATGTTGGTGGAGGCACATTGCTGGGAGTTTTTAGGATTTAGGTTACAGAACTGTATAAAATGATTACAGACAACACTGGGAAATCCTGCATCAGTTTTGCAGGTCATTGTGAGATATTATGCCATGTTGAAATCAATATTTAGAGCCCTAGCATGGTGACTAACTCCCCTTCCTCGTGACCGGCTTAAACAAGTGCTCATTTGCTAGGCTAAGTTTGAACAAGATTTGTTGAAAAAGAGTTGCTAGTGTCACCGACAGCCTTGAAAGCTTTGGACAGCTGGAGATGATACAGGGGTGACTTACGTGTACATGAGTGTGTGGTTCTGTGACATCTTAGTCAACATCTTTCTATACAATTTATGACACTTTCAAACCCTCCAAATAAATAGACAAATAAGGACTGACTCAAGATTCACTCCAAAAGTTCTTTTGTTTTTGCCGACATAAGGATTGATACATACATATATCGACAAACTCCATTTTGGATGACTCAACTTCTTCATATTCATGAGGAATCAATACTCTGATTGCTAAAACATGCGACTTGTATGCAATTGGGCTGCTTTTGCAGACATGAATACCTGTTTGTTATTTATCGCAATTGTTGTCATTGGAGCTAAGTGGATGCTGGCAATTATGGGTTGTTTCACTCCTTTCATTTTTTTTCCTGGGCTGCTGCGAACGAAGATATACACTTGCGAAATCGTGTCTACATTGGATTGTGTTCACCATTCACAAGGAGCTGTGGTGTGAAGTTGGAATTGCCAAGTGTAAAGGGGATCAGTTTTTATGCAGACCGTCTTGCTGAAATATGATGTTGGAACTTTTGCATTTTGAGCTGTGTTTGAAGCATCCTTGCTCCCAGTCTGCCATGAAGATGAAGACATCACAGCATGGTGTAGCAAGGCAAAGCTTTCACTGAGAGGCCATTTGACACATCAAACAGTGCTCCTTCTGGTTCCCCTCCTGGGTAGTTTTCTGGCATTGTTTTCAAGGGTCGCCGACATCGATGTTGAAAAGTGGCCTGGTTGACGCAAACACTTGTTATAGTTCTGTGAGCTGGTCTTATTGGGAAAAACACGGAAGTGTTTGCACATGTAGCATTGAAATGAATGAAGCAATTTGTGGTTTGGGGAGCTGTTGAAATCGGCCATCACAGCTTGGCCGGTTCCTAAGGTCCTTTTCCAGATACTTTTAAATCCCAGTTCTAAATGGGGTGAGTATCTTCAACTTTGTAATCTTCTCTTTCAATACCGGCCCACTTCCTCTGCTTTTAAAAATGTTGTGCCTCCCTCCCCCAAACATTCCCCGTTGACAGATCTAAGGCAGTATAGCACAAATTACAATAAAAATTCAATAATTGTATTTCCTCACAGCCAAGCCTACCCGCATATACTGCCCACGCCATCGGCCCAGGGCAGCAACTACCAGGCCTCTCAGCAGTCCACCTTCGGTGTACAGAACTCTAGCTATCCATACGCTGGCCAGTCCAGTCAAACGCCGTATGGTCTAGCCCAGGCTATGTCTTACGGTAAGTGCAGTCCCTGATTCTCAGTATTTCTGATGTTGTGGGATAAAGTTGTCTAGTACGTGGACAGTTGTTGGAATAGCAGTTGAATCAAGGTTTTATAGGCATTGATGTAGTACATGTAGAATTTCAGTTTTGTAATTTTGTGATTAAAATGAAGATGCTTCCAGATCCCCAAGTGTAGGATTCAGATTAAAGCTAAGCTTTATGTGTATCTATTGAAGATTTGAAGAAAAAAAGAAAGCACAAACAGATATTTTGAGTGAGTTTAATTTGTAATGTGAAGATATCTCAAGCAAAACATGTGATGCAGGGTTGTTTGGACCACTGCTTTGAATGAATGAATTAGGGTGGTACATGTAGCGGGGTTTTTTTGATGGGCAGAGCTGAAAGTGACATTGGCAAAGGATGAACTTGAAGAAGTTTCTATGTGAAAACCCATCGTGTCTTACACCTCTTTGAATATATCATGTGAAAACTCAGCATTTTATCAGTCAGTCCTGCAGCATCATACATGTATGTGTTCATGCATGTTCCTCATATTTGGAAACAATTCTTACAAAACTTTCTGGCAGTTCCCTAGACAATAATATTTGTGAAGATTTTGAAATTCATCTTCTAAATATAGCTGTCAGTGATCGTAATCTCATAGATTTTAAAAACTGGTTTCCACCATGACCCTTTTCCCAAATAAACTCTGTCTATAACCTTGGAATTTTAAGTGAATCTCAGATACTTACCAGAACTGTAATTTTATTGTAAGCGAGGGCAAGGTACCAATTATCAGTGACCATATGCCTCATATCCTTGATAATGCTGATTGACCCTAGAAAATAGAGGTCGGAAACAGAGGTTAGAGGTCAAATTCTGGGTGAATCTAGGTCACAGATATCTCACCTGAACTCAAGTGAAAATGATTATGCTTGAAAAATTTCCCCAATGCCCCCAAGAATTGACTTTTTGAGACCATTAGTACAGTTCTTTTGAAGTAGTGGAGAAGACGTTTGGACTGGTGTTACTGTTGAACCCTGCTTGACGTATTTGAAAATTTGAGCAATAGGTGGTTTTTATCTAGCCACGCACTGTCATTTCTTTCAGGTCACAACAGTCCACAAAACAGGTGCATTCAGCGAAACAAGAAAGGAGATATTTTTCCTCTTCTTTTCCCCCCCAAAAAACCCTTTTAGTGAAAAACAAAAAGAGAAAAGCCCTGTTCACCATGTTGCAGAGGTGAAATTGATCCCTTGGTCTGTGGTCACCATCTGGCAAGCTGGCTGTTACAATGCCACAGGGCATGACAGAGCAATAAAACAGTCCTTTTCCCCTGACCTTTTTTATTGGCTTTTTCTTCTTGTCTTGTCTGGCTTGATGATGCAGGGATCAATTGGTCCCCAAAGCTAGGGTACCAGGAGCAGTGTTGAAGGGTCTTTTTTGTGTTTTTTTAAACCTCAAAGAAATGGCAAAAGCTTTTGACGGAAAGTGCTGTGATCTTTTTTGTTACCTCAAAGAGCTTAAACCCTAACAGCCAAGCGGCATGGTCTGAACTGGTTCAGACTTTGCAGTAATCTGTAGGTAGCTCCCATATCACTTTGTTCATGTACATTCAACTGCCATTTCTTATCACAGTTGCTTTGATCAGAAGCTTTCCGGGTTTATTTTTACTTTCAACAAGTTGCTTTTGAAAGCAAAACCTAGTTATTCTGTACCTCATAACGAGGAAGTCTCACCAAGCTTAGGATTTCCTCGTTTGATGTACATTTTCTACTGGAGCTGCTCTCGTTAGCTTGTTCAGCAAGGATTTAGACTTGTGGAAATTTGTACAAACACCTTCTGATCCTTCTTCCATTTATAAAAGTGTTAAATTCACCAGCGGCGGAATGATTTTCAAAGTGGGAAGGGGAGTTGTGAGACCATCAGGCATCAGCTATTAATAGGCCAGTCCATTAAGCCCAAGCCCATTGAAGGATTGCAAGAGTGGGAGGGGGGGGAATGCCCCCAGTTGAAAAAGTGGGGGAGGGGCCACTGCCCCCCCCCTTCCGCAACCAGTGCTTAAATTCCTTTGAAGAGTCTATATTGACTTTAACAAAATACCAAAGTCCAGGAGCGTGTAACTCTCGTTTTCTTAGCTAGTGAACAAATGAAATACCGTAATAGCCTTTCAGAACAATGTGTGAACTGAAGTTTGAAGATGCTCAAATTTTCATTATTTTGGTCATGTGTGAGATGCAGTTTACCCTTTTTTTTCTACGGTGCAGTTGTAAAGGTGCATGAACGTACTGATCGATTATTCTCGTAATTGGCAGACAGGAAGTTGTCCTGGTTCATATCGCTGCACCGTAATCATTAACGCCGATCGCTGACTTAAACGTTGGCAGTTCATCACTCACCGATTTCGCCGCGCTCGGCCGGCAGGGAAATGAATGAGCTTGCGGCCGGCATTTGTCAGTTTTTAATAACAGGAAGGCTTCGGCAGTCCGAGCCATTTTGCCATGAGACACCTGTTGGTGTTTGGCCAAATAAATAAGAAATATGACAGGTCGGCCCGGAGGAGAATGATTTGGACAGGGAAGAAAGTTGACAGGATGAATGTTCTTAGCCACTTCAGTTCCAGTGGCCTGCTGTCTGCAAGATGTGGAGACTCTGAGTTATGAACTCTTGGGAGCAATATCTCTCTTGAGGGGCTTGTTTGTCTGCCTGTCTGCTTGGCTGTCTTACTACTACCAAAGTTTGACCATTTCTGGTTAGGTTGGAGTTGATCTGTCGTGCATACACGTGCGTGTATATTTGCTGTTTTCTGTACATGTACTTTATCATGGCTGTTAGAAATGCTTGTTGGAAGTTTCCATAGCTATTGTAAAATGATCTTGTTGATGTTGATTATATTTTCATTATGAAATATCTTAATGTATTTCTGCTGGGAAGTTTTCTGCACAGAAATCCAGACAAGATGGTGTCAGACAAGATTTAAACCTCAGTCTGTAGTTGGTCTGTACAGAACTGCCATGTAGACCGCTTACACTTTGCCTACAACTTGTATGGGTGGCCATAATTTGCAGAAACATCACCTTTCGGTCAAGTTTCAATTTTACCTCAAATTGGTTGAAAATGGACATGTGTCCCATTAATTTTAATTAGGTTGTATTTTGATTTATTATTTAGTGATAGTTGTATCGTTGTCTAGAGTTCTGATACCTGTAGATGCATGGGATTTCACTTTGAATTATTCCTTTATTTTTATACCGACGTCCAACCATAGTTTTACATCCACTTGTCAGAAAAACACGACTGTGACACCAAAAGAGCAGACCCCATTGAATAAGATGTCAGAGAACACTGGCAAGCTCGCCAGTGCTGCCTCTATTTCAGCTAGTGGTAACCTGTGAACCCTTTTGTTCAGGACCCAGGACACTGGATAATTGCATGGCTTGCCATTATTTTGTGCAGTTGAATCTATTATTATATGCACTGAACACATGTCTCCTCTTCAACAGGTGGCTTTTCACCTACTATAGAAAACAAGTCATGCCTGATTGGTCACCTGGTATCACATGACAAGCAGCAGTTGGCTATTGCTGGTGAAACTGATATGATAAATGATATTTCAGGCTCCAGTGCCTGGATAATATGAGTTTATTAGAATTGAAGGTATTTTTATTTTGGTCTGTCGTAAGTCCCAGCATGGGACTACTTCTTTATAATACCTGTTAGCTTTACTGGGAGGGGGCACCACTCAAGCCTGCTTTAAGCTTCATCCCTTTAGTCGTGTCTAGGTACCGTTCTTTGGGAGTGGACTGGTCAGTGCATGTATATGGCACAGGCAGAGATATTTTCCTGGTCTTGTATCCTCGGCTTTTTTTTTATTAGGCCATCATTCTCGTTTAATAGACCATAAACTTATATTGGTGGTCTGTTGTTTTGTTGCATAACAGTTGTGTGTGTCATCTTTGTCTAGCGTCATCGCAGGTGTCCGGGGAGGGGGGGTGTGAGAAACTGAATAAACAAAGGGAGTGGGGCACCGTAGAGCTGTTTTTGTCTATATCATGCAACATCGGGCTCGGTAAAATCATGCAGACCCAAAACGTACATGTACTTATATACACATGTACTTGTGAGGCATTGCACTCTTTGCAGTATGTCTTCAAAACATTCCTTGGGCAAAGAAAGAGGAAATCAGACATACATGTACATGTACTTCCCACTCTCCCAGATGCCCCTCCCCCTTTGTGGGAATTTCTGAAATGTACATTACACAACCTGTAATAGCCGCCATTCATCACTTTCAGTTTTCTGGGGAAAAAGTGTGCTGGAAAGAAAAAAGTGCATCCCACTTCCCAGTTGCCCTCTGACCCCCTACCCCCAAAATCCCACCATACATGTATGTAGTCACCCCACTGGTGTTATGCACATGTGTGATTGAAGCACACTTGGGAGTGTCTCAAGGAGGATACCTTAGCGTTCTTCATGTCATTCCTGCCCCCATGTACAAGACCAGTACTTATCCTGCATGATTGATAACATCAACAAGTATCATTGTTATCTAGCTTGTCTGATTCTTCCAACATCTTGAACTGGGACTGATTTTTTTTTTGTCACCTTGATGTTTCAAATACTAAGCCAGTTCAGAGACCAAATCGAAGGTCCTGCTGTGTTTCTTAAACAAACCTAGGGCTGAAATCTTTACACATGTGCATGTGTCCAAGAAAAAAAAATTGGAAATATTATTTGATCTAAAGTTTATTGGAGATGCATATCATTGATAGCTCTTTTGTTATTTTCTTTTGTTGATTACAGGTTCGAAAACGTTAAAAGCAGACCCGGCACAAATGCAAGGTCAAGGGTCGTATCTAAGCACGTATGGGTCAGCAGGGTTCACAGGGTCATCTAGTCAGGCTGCTCAAAGCCCCTACTATCAAATGCAAGGTGAGAGCTGCCGTTTTGTCCTGTCAGAAGTGTTCGATTTGGAAGTTGATAGCACATGCTCATGCTACTGTAACTTTGTTGTTAAAACCAGTCTGCTGCAGAACTGGCTGCCCCTTGAAAGAGTAGATTCCGTGTCAAGCAAGGGCGCTTTGTTAGTTGGAAAATATCAGGCTGACGCGCTGCATGCATAAAGATAGCCAAGTGTTTACGGCGTGAAGTGTGCAAGTTCTGAGCGTGCACAATGCCCATGTACCTTTCTTGGAGTTAGCATAAGGCACTGGCCTTCCCCATTGTCGTCAATGAGGGCATACTTCTATACAGAATCCATAGGGATTTCCAGTCCCTGGCTTGGTCTCTGGCTTTGTCCCTAAACTCAAAACTGCTCATAAACGTATTACTGTACATGTTTTTTAGAGCTAAGAATGTCAAAGGCAGAGGTTTAAATATTGGTAATGTCAAAAGCAAATCAAAGCAAATACAAAGCTAGTGATTAAAAAAAAATTCTCATATGCCTTTAAAGTCGTTCAGTTGAATAGAGGTCTGAGGATTTGAAAAATGTTCCCTAGCAAAAGGGCTTAACGATCCTCTATCCTACAGTAGTTTAATATGATTGTGCTCTTGGTATTGTGGGATGATGTGGGCTGAAGGATGAAAGTTGATGACTTGCACAGTTACCATCTGAGTCAAAGTGCCCAAAGAAATTGCATTGTAATTTGTTAGGGTGCCGCTCATCCTGTTGTGGTTTTCTGTTGATTTCCAGGAGGTAGTTTCACTGGAAGTAGTTACCCCTATCCCACATGCAGCAGCAGCACGTCCACAACTAACTCACAGGGTTTCAACAGCTCACCACAGGTAAGGGGCGATGTCTCCCAGTTTCTCCCAAGATTCGGAGTGGATTTACATGTACGTGTATTCATTCATGTTTACCTAAAATGTCACAGCTTCACTGTGATCGTTTCACACAGCCGCGGTACAGATTTTACTTGACTTGGAAATACATGTAGGTGTCACAAAATTGAAGATGTATTGAAACCCTAACCCCCTGGGGACCATTGAAATCCTGCATAA